ATGTTGTGCAACCCGAGTGGAGCAAGACACGAGGCGCTGTCAATGAAGTGCACTATGCGCGGTGCCATACAATTTGTACAATACATGCAGCGCTCTATATGCGTGCAGTATGAACGGTGCAATCGACGCGGTGCATTTCATGCTGTGCGGTCTGTGTTAAGCAATCGACGTGGTGAATTTCACCGTGCCGAACTTGAAGTTATCAACGCCAGTGCTCGCACAATCATCACACCCACCCACCCGCAGCTCCGTTTCTAAACCCATGCGGCGGTGATTGCGATGACACCTTGGCGCTGGCATGCACACCGCTGCGGCCGCGCGGACGCGCGCAGGTTCGAGCGCAGAGAGACCAGCTAGGTTGGCGAACCCGAGGCGGCCGCGGTGGAGCTGGCCGCTGGGAACTTCCCAGCGCGTCCCGCAGACCGCGCTGACGCGCGGGCACTCCATTGCGAGCCGGGGACTCGGGAGGTCGCAGTACCACGGCGACGTCGACAACGGCGGACGCGATGACGAGTGTAGCGACGCTCGTGCCGGCGATGACGATGACGACAGCAAGGGCCAATGGCGGCGCCGATGCTGATCACGTCGTTGACGATGATGGTATCAACGCGTCGATGATAAGAAAGGTTGAAATCGTTCTCCGACATGCGCGCGGGGTCCAAATGAACACGCGGCAGGCAAGTTTGATCGAACTTGATGAACATGTCTTCCATAAAAAACACGCACGCACAAAACAGTTGCTTTGAGAGCTTGCAACAAAGCGCGCACATGTTTGAAAATGTGTGCTGCAAAACGACTGATTTTTTGTTGTTCTGCGACATTCGAACTTGAAATCCTTGCAAAAGCTGGAGTTGTTGACGCAGTCCAACATACGCGCGAGACGACACGCGCGTGCGCACTTCGTCCCATGCGTTTGCCAGGGATACTTAGAAAGTGTGGTTTTGATAAACGAGGGCGAATGTATTGCAATTCCTTGCGAAGGACAGGGGGTGGGTCGAACCGGGCTTGGCTGAGATCGTGCAAAGTTATGATTAATATGAAGTATGGGGCATAATCAGATGCAAAATGCACTTTCCCAGGGGGGCGGATAATTCCGTGGGAGGTTAGGTCAATTCAAGTTTCATTTGGGACATGCGATCTACGTGTTGCAATATATGCGATGAGCTCTACGTTGTGCAATCTATGTGGTGTGATCTGTCTTGTGTCATGGTGCAGTCTACGTGGTGCAATCCATGTGGTGCAATCTACGTGTTGAAATTCTGCCAGGCGGCGACAGGGCAGCGACAGCGGCCACATAGCAACCAGACCGGCCGTCAGGTCCAGGCGAGGGGCGGCGACACACTGGCGACAGGGCGGCGACAAGGCGGCGAAAGCGGCCGCCTAGCCGCCAGACAAGCTGCTGGGCCGAGTGCCTTAGAACATCCGTTAGAACCCCAGCGGTGCAAGCACTCTTTCGGGAAAGTGCGAATATGCGTAGAGCCAAGTCTCGCCAATTACTGCACCAAGAGGCCCTGCGCTGAAAAACTGGTCCCCAGGAGCGGGTCCAGACCGCTTGGGGGGTCCCTCAAAGCGCCTCCAGGGCGCGCCAGAAGTGCCCCGAGGGGCCTCCACAAGAGGCCCGGCCCGGTGGCGGCAGGGGCCGCAGGCCACCAGAGAATGGCATCACAACTGGGATTTTGTGTGGCATCCGCGGCCAATGGCCCATCCTCAGATTGGGAAGAGATTTGTGTGCTATAGAGAGAAACACCGGCCTTCTCCGGTTGGAGTCACTCCCTGAGCCTCCTCCAATGATATAACACTTGTGATGACGGGCGAGAGGCTTGCACTCATCACCTGGCTTCGCGAGGCGTTCTCCAGACGTGAACGCACCTCACCGCCGACAAATACCGGCAAAAGACCCCCTATACTGCAATCCAGACTCAAGCATGAATGTCCAAGGCCCCGCAGAAGATGCGGGCGGACTCCCAGGAGCCTGCTGCACCTGCCACTCGGCGGCGTCACAAACGAGCGGGCGACGCGCAGACCATGCGGGCACTGCCAGAAGGTGCGGGCCGGCCTGCCAACCACTGTCCAGTCGTGGGGTACAGGCAGTGAGACCGTCTCCTCCTTCGGTGGCTTCTTGACCACTTGGCATCCGTCCAAGCACGTCCTGGGCCCCAAGGCATGAAACTGGCCAGGAGTTTAACCATAGCCATCGACACCGCAACGAAATGGTCTACTCGGCGGTGTTCCTCCTCCGACGCATCGTGGTTCAAAGTCGCTCGAAGCTTAGCGGTTCTGTCCGCCAAGTCATTCCCAACTCGCCTGTGCAACTCATCGGTGTCCAAGGAAAAGGTCCAGCTTCTGGTGGGCATGCTAACAACAACTCCGTCGGACCTTGTCCAACCTTGTCCATGCTAACAACAAATCCGTCGGACAAGGTGCTAGCCTGGAGTAAAAGGCCAGACTGCGGAGGATATGAAGAAGATACAGGGAGGAGTGGGCCGCAACAGCGCTGCTGCTGAGACGGTAAGTACGCACGATGCCCACGAATCGCCGGACACCGAGAGGTACCTATACAGGGGTGGCGACGAGGGCCCCCTGGGAGGCCCCAGGAGCGGAAAACGAGGGAATGGTAGCGGTATGGGTACCCCTTCCCTCCTCAAGTGAGCGTTTTCTTTTCCTTCGTTTTGACATCGGGCGGAAGGGGGGGAGGGGGGAGGGTGTGGGGTCCGGCAGTTGACTTCTGCTGAGCGCGACTGTTTGCAACAGTGAGTCAGATGTGGGGAGACCCCACCTGCCTGAAACAGGCGCCAAACACAGTCAATGTCTACTCCATAAAGGGGGGGAAGGGGTGGCGAGGGCCCGCGCCGATTGGCAAAACGACGAATAAGGAAACGATCGCCAGAAGCTTGTTTCTCTGCAGTTTGTACCTTTTCCCTCCTTGTACCTCTTCGTCCCTTTTACCTCCTTGATCACGATGCACACAAAGAACAACGGAATAAGCATAAACCATTGGCGTTCCACGCGGATTTTTTAATATGCGCTGGACCCCTCTCCCTAGTGCGCTGAGCGAACCACGGGCAGCGGGGCCCAGCGCGGATCCAAAAAGTCCGTTTGGACCGCGGATCCAAGCAATCCTTGACGATGGTAAACGAGTTGTGTCTTTTTCCTCCACTGAACGCCTCCTCCTCCTCCTCCGCCCGATCCTCCACCTCCTCTTCCTCCTCCTCCTCCTCCTCCTCGTCCTCATCCTCCTCCTGCTCATCCTCCTCCTCCTCCTCCTCCTCGCCCTCCTCTTCCCAGCCGTGTCTGGCTCGTCCCCGTGACTCGCGCCTCCTCTGCTTGACCCCGCAGGCTGGCTCGCGACCGCGACCGCGGAGGAGGAGGAAGAGGAGGAAGAGGAGGAGGAGGAGGAGGAGGACGATGGGGGATCAGGAGGACGGGATCCCAGCTGATGGGGTCGGAGGCTCGCGCAGCATCGCCGACGCCTCCCAGACGCAAATCGGGCTCCATCATCGAACCGCATCGGCGATGCATCGGCGACGCGGCGCGATCCTCCGAACACACATCTGCTCGGGCCCCATCTGGGAGGCCTAGACTTAGGTCGGGCATGTCCCATCCAGGCGGATCCTGGGCGAAACATGGAAGATCACCGACCCCCAAAAGAAGACGAACAGACAAACGCGCCCCCCCAGACTGCTCTCCTGACCATTTTCGGATACTCCTCCCGTCGAGGGACAGGCCCGACGCATGCCTATGACGCCCCGCAAAACGCCGAGGAGCTCGGAGGCGAGCCTTTTCGCCAGCTGGGGGAGAGGCCCGCCGCGGCCCTCCCTCTCTCGCACTAGCCCGATCGCAAATCACTCAAGGCACAAGAGAAAGAAGCGGGGGGAGGAGAAGCCGGCTACCCGCCGCCGCCACCACCACGCGCCCTCCCTGCACCGGGCAGCGCCACAGGGCCGGCACTGCGCGGGCACCATCTCTCTCTCTCTCTGTCTCCGCGGGGCGACCGAGCACGCGATGAATCCTATTAGGGCGGCCCCGTGCCGCGCTGACGCCGCGGCGACGCCGCGCGGGCTCCGCGCTGACGCCGCGCGGGCCGATTGGACGAGACGAGACGAGAGAATGAGAGAGAGAGAGAGAGACAACAAACGAATACACGTAGAGCGAGGGAGAGACAGAGAGAGAGGGGGGGGGGAGAAAGAGAGAGGGCGAGAGGGAGGGAACAACAAAAACAACATCCACCGACGCTGCGGCGAGAGAGACAGAGAGAGAGAGAGAGAGAGAAAAAAAAGAGAGAGAGAGAGAGAAAGAAATAACCAAAAAGAGCAACAACCTCCACCGTCCCTGCGGCGTGTGGAAGACGCTGGCGCCGACGTCGCCAGTCCCAAGGAAAACCGAGGCAGAAGGACAAGGAACGTCGTAGTCAAGTCGGTTCCCTTCCTCTTGTATACCTTCCCTACATGGGGGAGTGCACGGGTTCCCACTTGGCCGTAGGCGACCCGAGGAGAAAGAGGAGGAGAAGGAGGAGAAGGAGGAGGAGGATAAGATGGAGGAGGAGGAGGAGGAGGAGGAGGAGGAGGAGGATAAGATGGAGGAGGAGGAGGAGGGATGAGGAGGAGGAGTATGGGAGGAGGGGGAGGAGGAGGACGGGTTGCCTAAGCCCTTCGGAGAAACCCTCCATGGGGGGTGTGGGAGGGATGGGGCCCGGGGTCAGACTACTGCCCCGGCGGGTCCCGGGGGGAGGGGGTCGCCAGCGGAGCGTCCTGTGGATAGGCACCGAATGCAGGGGCGGCGGCAACGGTCGCAGGGCCTGCGCAAGATGTCGACGGAGAGGCAGGCACACAGAGACCACGAGGATGAGGAGGAGGAAGAGGAGGAGGAGGAGGAGGAGACGGAGAAGGACACGGAGGAGGAGGAGGAGGAGGAGGAGGAGGAGGACGACGACGACGGCGGCGGCGGCGGCGGCGGCTGCGGCGGTGGTGCGCCAGAGGCCCCTGGAGGCCCCGTGCCGCCGCCTTGGCCGAGGTCGTCCCGCACCCGCGCGGGCTCCGGGGGCCGCGCCGCTAGGGACTCCGCGAGGCTCCTCGCCTCGGGAGGGGGGGGAGGCTCACGGGCGGCGAGCGTTCGGAGGCAACTGCTGGGAGGTCATCGTCGGCTCACGGGCGGCGAGCGTTCGGAGGCAACTGCTGGGAGGTCATCGTCGGATGGGGGAGGTTTGGGCCCCTCTGGGGGGCTGCTGCGTCGGATGGGGCCGCGGATGAAGCGGGCTTGAGCGTGATTCAAGAGCGGGGTGAAGCTGGAAGAAATGGGATGAAGCCGGACTTCGGATCAGGGCAAAGTTAGAACTTGACCTCCCAGGATCTGACCTCCCAGGGGGGCCCACGTCGGCGGCGAGCAAGGGGGGGGAAGTGAGAAGGAGAAGACCTTCTCAGAAGACGGCGGGGCTTCGCAGAGGCCTTCGCGCCTTCTGAGGAACTTTCTCTGTCTTCGGGGAAGGCCGGATAAACTTCTCAGAAGGTCGGGGGACTTCCGCGCCTTCTCAGAGGGCCTCCTCCTTCTCACTCCCCCCCTGTCTCGCCGCTGATCACGGGCTGCGAACGTGTCCGCATCAACGTCCGGGCGTTGCGAAACCCTGGGGCCCTGGCGTTGCCACTTGTTTGCAAAGGGCGTTTCCGCCCCGTTTCGGGCCCGGGGACCCTCACAGATCGGTCTGGATCGAGAAATTCGGGGGTGGAGGAGGAGGAGGTGGAGGGGGAGAGGGGCTGGAGGGGGGGATGAGGAGAAGGTGGAGGAAGACGAGGAGGAGGTGGAGAAGTGGAGGAGGAGGAGGAGGTGGAGGAGGAGGAGGAGGAGGACGAGAAGGAGAAGGAGAAAAGAATGTGCGACACGCAGAGCTCGGTGTGTGCAAAGACGTCGAGGGTGGCTCGTCCTCGGGCCTGGCCACCGGTGCGGCTGTTCACTCCTCTGGGCCAACGAAGTCCACCAGACGGTGGGCACCTCCTCCTGACTTCTCCCCATCTCGACCCTACGGCAGGTTCGTGTCGTATCGACTTCGGCATTGGTTCCTGACACCGCGGAGATCGTTCAACCTTGAACACTCGGCCGTTTCCGAAATGTCCACATCGTTCCACATCGAACGATTCTGGGGCGCCCGCGGCGTTCAAAGTTGAACGCCGCTGACGGAGTCGACGCCGGTCGACACGACACGAACCTACCGTACCCCCACCCCTGCCCGCAGACGCTTTGCGCAGCGCCCCCCTCCCCCCCAGTGCTGCGCGCGAGCGCTGCGGGGAGACCTCTGTGGCATTCTCCTTCGTGCCAACACTCTGCATCCTCCTCTCGCTCCTGCCGTGACGGCCTGCGCGCTGTCTTCCGACGCCGCGTGGATCCCGCCTCGAGCGATCGCGGCGCCCCGACGGCCGCGACCGCTTGACATCTGCCGACTCTGGGCCACTGGCGGCGCTCGACCCTGAGGTGAACCACGGGGGATCGGCCTGGCCCACGGCCCTCCGCCGCCGCCGTGCCTCGCTCGAGCCCGGCGCTGTTCCCGCTGCTCCGACCCGAGCTGCGAGGCGCGGAGTGGTCCATCAGCACCGCCCGGGTGACGAGGAGCAGCCCGGGAAGCCTCGCGTGGCAGCTCGGGATACAGTCTTTCAGTCGGATCCACCTCGGATTCGCGCAGGATTCATTTCGCATATCCTGCATGTTTCGGCGCGAACGGCGTCCTGCCTCTTATTGGGCGGCCGTGTGGACTGGAGAGTACGACTATGGCGCGCCGCGCGGGGCCTCCGGGATTCTCCTCACAGCCTGGTGGATCGCTCGTCGGGGGCCTGGGCAGGCGGTGGATGTGGGCAAGGATACCAAAGGGCCCGAATATGGCCAGATCCACTGCCTGCCGAGGCCCCCGAAGATCGATCCCTCAGGGCCACCCCCCCTGTCCCTGGCCCCCTGCCGGTGCCCCTGCAGAGGTCTGACCCCCGCCCTGGGACCAGTGCCTCTTGTTGGCGGCAAGCGCGGGGGGAAGTGAGAAGGGGCGGGCCTTCTCAGAAACCTTGGAAGCCCCCAGGCCTTCTCAGACGTCTTCTGACTCCTCCCCGAAGACGCAGAAAACCTCTCAGAAGGCGCGAGGGCCTCTGAGAAGCCCCGCTGCCTTCTGAGAAGGCCGTCTCCTTCTCACTTCCCCCCCTCGCTCGCCGCCGATCTTGGAGGTCCCCAGACGGTGCATTGACAGACCGTACGGTGACATTGGAATCTTCAAACCGGGGACCTTCTGACCCGGGTCAATCCAGACCCGGGCCAGTCAGGCCTGACAGGATCCTGCAGGATACTGCACCCGAGCAGAGGTCAGTGCGACCCTGGACCTGCAGGATCCTGCAAGATCTGGCGCTCTGGCTGACCCTCGTTTGCACTGAGTATCGTTTAACCGATCCCCATCCCCAGCGGCGTGGCCTGGGCCCCGCTGGTCGGTTCACTTTCCTAGAGGGGGATGTAGGGGTCGTTCCCTCTGGGTCTCGAGGGGCGTATCCCCAACTGGGGGGATCATTTGGTGAGGGTCTCGAAGGGGATGGGGATGAGGATGGGGTTCGGTTCAACGATACTGATGTCCTGACCTTCGTCTCTTGAGCCCCGACCAAAGTTAAGCAGGGACCGACCGTCCTGGCATCCCTATAGTCCTACCACGAAATGTTCTGAGAACCCCAAAATGCTCTAAGAACAAAGGCAATGCTCTTTAGAACAGATCCCCAATGTGTTCAGACAAGACCGTCCCAGCCAGACATGCTCCGAGAAGACCTCCCGTGCGAGCCTCAAGCTGTTCCTAACACCTTTGTTTGGTAGGCCCACCGGCACGCCAGGACGCTTCGTCACCTGGCCATCGCTCAGATGTTCATTCCCTGTGTTTTTGTTCGGTTTCGTGCGTGGCCTTCTCGCCAAATGATCAAGGATGCTCCTCGATGGTCCTCGCCGCAGGAAACATGCACACGTCCGAGCGATGCCAAGTCACTGCTCGACCAAGACCTCACCGCACTGCCCGCCACCCCGCGAGCTTCGGCACCCCGGCGAGGCGCCGCCGCCCGAGGCGCCCCCCGGAGCGAGCACGGCCCGAGCCCCAGCCGGCCCGCAACGGGGCGGGGCCACCGCGCATCGCCTGGAGCCCCCGGAGCTTCCTGCCCTGGGGGGTCGCTCGCCGACGGCCCCCGGGGCCCGGGCACGAGGCTCTCAAGAGCAGGGTTCGGTCGGGCGTGTCCCCCGACAGGGGGATTTGGGGGCGATAACTACAAAAAAGACCCCCCCAAAAATACCCCCAAGAAATAAACAATAACAGCGCGCGTTCCGCGCGCCAGGGGCGGCGCCGGAGGCGCCGCCCAGGGGGCTCCAGCGGCGACGGCCCCCGGGAGGGCTCCAGCGCCAAAGGGTCGCTCTCCGACGGCCCCCGGGGCCCGGGCACGAGGCCCAAGAGCGACTGCCTGCCAGACCACCCCAACCCAACCCGAAGACCCGAATTTCGGGTTGGGGTTAAGTCGGGCATGTACCCCATACAGGGGGATTTTCGACGAAAAATAAAAAATACCTGAAGAATAAGCAATTCAAAATCCAAAAATAGTCAGGGGACTATTTTTTGAATATGTTGTGTAGCTTTTTGGGGTGTTATTGGTGTATTTTTCATTGTTCGTCGAAAATCCCCCTGTAGGGGGACAGGCCCGACATAAGGTGGGGGGGGGGTACGGATTGTATTATGTATTTTTTCACTGGTTCCCGACCCCCCCCCACTGGAAATGGAGGGCAGACCGGGGGCTTCGGGATGGGTTGGGGGATTTGGTGGGTGGCGAGGAAGCAGGGAGGCAGGCACAGGCTTCTTGCCGTCGCTCGGACGTCCATTTCCCGTGCATACTTCGGTTTCGTGCGTCCATTTCCCGTGCATACTTCGGTTTCGTGCGTGTTTTTTTTTTCTTGGTGGTCCAGGATGGTCCTCGATGGTCCTCGCCGAGAAAAAATGCACACGTCCGAGCGATGCCGAGGGCTTGGTGGGCGGTGAAGAGCAGGGCACACACAGCACATCGCGGAGGTCCGCGCGGCTTGGCTCGGGCCGGCGATGGACCCCACCTTCTCGGCTTCGCGCTCCGCGAGGCGCCGCCCACGGGGGGCTCCGGCGCCGATCCGAGGAATCCGCGCGGACCTCCGAGTGGTTACGTTTATGCCACCGCTCGCTTCCCTGGAGCCCGGTCAGATACAGGGCAGTTTCCAATACATAGGATGTTTAAACATATGAGACTTTTAATACATGGTCAATGCATGCGTAAATGTATGCATGAAATCATGTTTGTTTTTAATACTGAATCCCTGCATTTTTGATAAATGATCCGCACGCGGAGCATTTATTGAAAACTGCACTGTACAGTCAACCCGCAGATTCAGGACGCACGAGAAGGACGCAAGGGCCTGGGAAGGCCACGTCGACGCTTCGCGGGCGGGGCGCGGCCGGCGAGAGCGGTCCAGGATGGGCCGAAGGGGGAGGATGCAAGGGTAACCTTGGGAAGGCTGCCCATCCTTACTCGTGCGGGTTGACTGTAACACAGAACGACACAAGCATAACTTCTCTAAAGTCCGCGAAGATTCCTTGGATCGGCGCTGGGCCCCCCTGGCGGCCCTTCCGGCGCTGACCTGGCTGACCCGGATCTTTGGGTGGCCCAAACGGGGTCCAGCTGAAAGGGGGTGGTGCAATAGATTTCGGGCAATTGTATTGCAGATGTACTGCGCCGGAGAATTGTCTCGCATTATATTGCAAATAATGTACTGCACGCGACAATCCAGCAATATATCTGCGCCCCGGAATGTATTGCACACCCCAATTGTATCGCAACCCCACAGATCTATTGCACCAGATGTAATTTACCACCCCCTTGTGGCTAAACCCCCTTTTGGGTCAACCCGGGACCCGGATCATAACTCGGGTGGGTCTCTGGCCCCCGTCCGGGACGATACGTGCACTGCAGTCCCAGACGCCACCCGGCGAGGCGCCTCCGCTGAAGGCATCCCGAAGCTGGAACACCGCCGAAAGCAGACGAGACATTCTGCGTGCGCCGTTCCGT